ATATCCATGATTCCACAGGCATCAACGTGTCATCTGCCTGCGAACCGTACCCGGCCGCGCGACAACCGACAATGTGACAGAAGGGAGTTCCTGCGTTACCACTTCGGATGCAGGACCCTCGCATTGCACACACCTTTGACTCATGTTTACGTCCGCTAACCCATACCTGCAGTGAGTCGGTGGGACCGATTGCTCGTCTTTGGTGGGCTGCTCATTGCTGCCTTGGCAATGTTTGCTACTTGTATTGGCCTGATGTTTACGCCTGTCTTTCTGCTCAGGCCGCGCAAGTTTGCCATTTTGTAAGTCCTCAGCTCTCCTGTTGCCTCGTATCCAGCCAAAGGCGCCCTGCATGCAGCCTTCTCGCCAGTGGTGAGATCATACAAGGCGGATAGGCAGTGACACATACTGCATACGTCCTTCGGCACGGCTATGCGAACTCATGCAATCTGCAATGTCAAGGATCGCATCTTCCGCTCACCGACTGCGGACGTTAGCCTGCACGAATCCAGTCGCTTGACTCTCTAGCCACCAGAGATCGGCGCTGGACCCTCTGTAGCGATCATGCGGGTCCAAGGTTCGGCGCGCTGCAGGGTGCAGACAACCTTCATCTAGTCCAGACTCTGCCACGCCAAGTCGTATGCACATCACCTGAAGAACGTTAGCGCTAACATCCATGGCCTGATTGCAGATGGTCCATGGGAAGCGTTCTCTTTTTGGCAGCTTGGGGTGTCCTCATGGGCCCTATGCAATACGGTAAGCAGCCTCATTATCCGAGCCCACCACTACCGTCGCTGACAAAATATCAGTTCAGCACCTCATCTCTGGTCCGAGGCTTCCGTTCACTGCTGCTTACTTCGGCAGCATCGCTCTCACACTCTTCTTCTCTCTAGGTGTGAGTTCAAGTTCCTACCCCAGTACATTTATCCCTGCTACATGTCGACCCTTGTTCATGGCTGCCCCAGAGCGAGCCCCCACGCCTCCCTTATCGATTATCGTCTCCATAGTTTGTGTTTACTGACAGTGTCCGCGTGACTAGCTCCACAGCACCATCTTGACCTTCGTTGCGGCTATCGCCCAACTAGTATGTCTATTATGGTACATCGTCTCGTATTTCCCAATGGGCTCCACGGGCCTGCGTTTTGCAGGACGCTTTGGCGCGAACCGTGTGACAGCTTGGATGAACGACTGAGGTCGTTGATGTGGGCATTACGAATGCTGTCTTGGCCACCGTGGCTATGTTGCTCTGTACATACAAGTAGGTCGACGCAACGCGCGTCAAGAATATCATCATCATGTCTGCCAGAGCAGTATATTGCCTCGACGCGAAAAAGACTCATCTACCAGGATGCATCCGATATGCTTCTTCCAAGCCCATCACGTTGCGTAGTCACGCACGCGTTGCTCTCTCCACGCCGCCCACTCGCGCTCTGTGATTGATCGGTCGGCTCGCAAAGATGTGCCACACCAAACGTCGCGAGCTTCAGAACTGGGCATAGACTGCGCAGCTAGTGCGGCGTTCAAGCAGCGTTTCATCGTTTCATACACTAGCTACAGGCCTATCGCCACATGTGCATTTCCAAGCCGACTTTCCGACGTGTTTCTTGACTCCACCAAACCTGTTCAATATACTTGATACTTGCAGTTCCGCCTCCCGAGCCAGAAGTGTGAGGGAGTGACTGACTTGACTGGAGGTCGTGGTGTCTCAGATGGGCCGCCTACCAGAATGCGTTAAATCAGCCCCTCGGATGTAAAATGTTGATCATGCACTGTATCCAACCTCGTGGCGAAGTTCACTACAACGCCAGCCCAGCCTTAGCCTACGCAGCAACTGGATTGTTAATCCGACTGGCCGTATCCTTGACTACGCAGTTCGTACGAGTCGTAAGTTCGCACCGATCAGCAACAAGGACGGATCGGCGCTGCGAACGGAAGGGAAGTTACTGCGTGGGTGTACGTCAAAAGGCAGGCGCAGAGTGTCGATCGAAGATCAACCCCAAAGAACAGGGTCCATCCCGAGGATGCGCCGTCCGTTTGCAAGCTCGCCAAGCGTGCAGACAGAAAGGCGCACGCTGCGAACGGCTCTGACACCATCTTGCGCGTTACTAACTAGTCGGGTTGTTGTTGCATCGCGCCATCACAGTTAGAAAGCAGCATAGTCATAGTGGCTGCGCCCGGTTTAGGTTTAGATGGAAAGCAGGTTGGTTGCGTATTTGACACGCCTACGCCTCTCCTAGGAACATGACTTATTCCAACTCCTTGCACTTGCGCGGTTTACGTTCGTTCGCGCGATACGCGATATGTTCGCATGCTGCAAATCATGCAATCATGCTGCAATCACCCGACTGAACAGCCCCTAGTCCTGGTTTACTCCGTAAACCTACCAAACCTTGGAACGTAAATGCAAGGAGAGATGATGCGAAAGCGAGGCAAGTTTAACGAAGCGATAGTGAGCCAGGGTTCATCCTAGCGAGACAAGTTCTAGATGGGATGACTGACTGTCTTTGATGGAGAGGAAAGAAAAAAAGGCCTCGTGATCTACATACCTGCACGACAGAAATACACCCGAGTTTTGGGCGCGGGCTGTTCTATCGCGATCAAGGGAAGAACTGTAGTGGTGTAGTGGCATGGCTCTTCTCTAGACAGGGAGTGGGAGGGCGACCATCGTAACAGGGATAAGGATACCCCGCATCGCCTGCATTGCGCATGCAAGCATGGGCGCTTACGCACCTCCGTCTGCACGCCAACCGCCACAACAACGTGCAACAGGGTCGGGTCGTTTGCTTGCTCAAAGCAAGGTATGCAGGTCGCAGCGCTGGTGGCCGCTGGGTGCATTACTTGCAAAATAGGAATGCGACTAAGGCGTGGGCCTAGATAGATGGTGTACCAAGGTTATTGCGCGAGGCGGGTCAAGCGAGGGCGAGGCGGTCAAGATTGTTCGACTAACCACTGCTAACAGAGGCATGGGCATGAACAGATGGGGGCCAGCACTACTGTCTTTATTGGGCGCGAATCGCGGTTCCGATTCTGCACCTGGACGTACTATGCACGACTAGCCTGTCGTGTCGTTGACAAAGGAAGAAGCAAAAGTTTGGTTCGCGATGAATGAGCGGTCAGAGATGTGTGTGTGAGATGTGAGAGCCCGTGAGAGGGTAATGACGACATGATTTCCGCTCTCTCTCCGAAAGTTTACCAGTAGCAAGCTATTATGGTGATATCAAGGGCTGGGCCTGGAATGGGTAAAGTAAGATTTCGGTATTGGGTGCCGAGGGAGGTGTGCGGTTTCTATTGTCAAATCTACGACCGGACGTCTGATATCTTGATTTTGGGTTGATATCAGGTGCGGTTGGGTTTGAGGGTTCGGAGGTGGGTTCCGTCCGTTGGTCATTCGGGCCTTTTGTGGCGCAGATCGCGTTTGGCATCGTGAGGCGGGATGGGCGAGTGTGGCTTTGGTTTGTTTGTGCGTATGGATGGATGGTTTTGGTTGTTGTAGGTGTAATCATGCGATAGACGCGTAACAGCAGCGAAGAAGGTGCTTACTTTGCTGATGCATGCCGATAGGCGCGGAGTCGCTTCGCCTTGTCGGACAAGACTCGCTTCACCTTGGTGAGATTACGCTTCGGGACTGTCAATACTCGAGCGTCCTTCCCCATGCTGCTGCTTTGGGTGTTTGCTAGCGAAGTATGCTGAGGAAGGTCTCGCCACGTTCAGTAATCTATCACCGCTGTCTGAATGAGGACGAGCATACTTGCTGCAAGTTCAGCTATCCTGTCACACGCGAGTTTGCGTCGTCCCTCGTTTAGAAATCGCATAGGTAGCATCTGCGAGATCAGTTGTGTGTTACGACGGGTAAGGCTGGTAATTCAGCTTTCGATCACCATCGTCGTGCCGCGCATAGGCGAGGTCCGTTCGCGGGACTGATGTTGTACGAGACCTCGCCAGTGTAGGGCTGACAGCGGATTTATTGTGGCGTTGACGTTTCTGGGTTGGACGTCTGAGAAGAGCTGGAGAAGAAGTGGGATGGATGGAACGGGAAGGATCGAGGTGTTGATGGTGTGAGGGGCAGTTGGTGGCCTTGTTTTGGGGTGGTGAGATGTGGAGGATGCGGAAAGGTATGCGATGATGACTGAGGCTGACTGAGTGAGGATGCACGGCGTGTCTCTGGTGATGAGGTTACTGAGTCTCAGGGCAGAATGGATGGCGATGGAGCGTGTTCACTGTCGCGACAACTACCACACAGGAAGTATTACAATGCGCGTGCATAGCCTCTCGACATAGATGCGTGGCCTTGATGCAACTTCATTATTGTAAATGGTAGTATATAGAAGGAATGCGCATCGGTCTGGCAACGCGCTCCCTACGTAGTCACGAACAAGACAGTATACCTAGGTACGCCTTGGTGTTGAGCACAACTCCAAATCCCGACTCGGGCTTCTTCATCCACCCGACGACTCCGACTCGTACATCGAGAAATGCTGACTACTTTCTTACTCGAGCCTTTACAATCATACCCACAGCTCCACTGCCACATAATAGCAGCGAATCGGCGTGGCATGAAGTCCGCTCTTTCCCGGCGTCGCAAGTCCGTGGAGCTACCCCTCTTCGACCCTCATCGGCAGTTGCGCATCTTCACGCTCAAACCAACCTCGTCGGCGCTGACAGCTGGGCATGACGACGAGTGCTCACCTCCGCTGGTGTCGGTGCCATCGCTGATTGGACGATTTCCGAAAGGATTACCAGGAGTGGGAACTCGGTCACCGGAATTGCTATGCACGATGCGGCTTCCTGCGACGCGAGATTGTGGGGTCGAGCAAGTGTGGGGTCGTAGGAACACAATGCCATTCTTCTTTTGACGCGGGTCTTTCTGGTCTACCAGACTCTCGCTCGAACATCATCTACACTATCGCATAGCAAATCTGCGTCTAGTCTTTCAGTCTAATCTATTAGTCTCACACCGATCTCATACAGTACCTTCACTGAACGGTCACAACAATCGCGTCATCATGCCTGAACAGCTCAAAGATCCAAAGGAGTACCAGAATATCTTCCACTGGGCGGAGACGCAGAAGGACGGAGCGATACCTTCCTTCGGCACGAGGAAGAATGATCCATATGAGGTGAGCTGACACCGACAACTCGACATCTTGGAGTTCGCTGCTGACATGCGCCCTACAGTACCAATCTGGGTTCGGCAACAGCTTCGAATCAGAAGCAGTGCCAGGTGAGGGCCGTGTACATCCGAGCTATGCGACGAGAAATTGACCGATTTCTTTTAGGAACTATTCCAAAAGGCCAGAACAACCCCAGAAGCGTCAGATTCGGACTGTATGCGGAGCAGATGACCGGCTCCTCTTTCGTCGCTCCCAGACATCTGAACAAGAAGGTCAGTACCCTGTTTAAAGGGGGGTATATCGATGCTGACATCTTGATTAGGCCTACCTATATAGGGCGCGTCCGGCCGTTGCGCATCAAGGATTTGTAAGGACTCTTTTCCTGGACTTCGGCTGCGCGTTTTGACCGATCGCACAGTCAGATCGATAGCGCATCGAAACGACGTTTGATCATTTGTCTCATTTGCTGACAAACTTATAGACCGACCTCCCCGATAACGAAGATACCGAGTCAAACTACCTCCCCGTGAACAAGCGCGTTCATGTCTCGCCCACACAGCTAGCATGGCTTCCGTTCGATACCCCCACAGATGGCGATGTTGACTTCATCTCTGGTCTCAAGAGTATCGCTGGCTCTGGCGACCCGACACTCCGCGAAGGATTAGCTGTCCACACGTACCTCTGCAATGCGAGCATGAACAAGAGGGCGGCGGTGAACTCGGACGGTGATTTCTTGATCGTGCCTCAGCTAGGAGCCTTGGACATCCAGACCGAGTTTGGGCCTATGTATGTGCAGCCAGGCGAGATTTGCGTCATCCAGCGAGGACAGCGATTCAGGGTCAAGGTTGAAGGACCAACGCGGGGTTACATTCTCGAAATCTGGGGTTCGCAGTTCCAGCTCCCTGAACTCGGTCCTCTCGGCGCGAACGGACTTGCTAACGCTCGGGACTTTTTGCACCCGGTCGCGAAGTACGAGATTGAGCAAGAGTCGTGGGAGATTGTGTACAAGCTCGCTGGCAAGTTCTTCGTCAGCAAACAGGAGCACTCACCGTTTGATGTTGTTGCATGGCATGGAAACTACGTACCGTACAAGTACGATCTGACCAAGTTCGTCAACGTCGGTTCGATTTCGGTTGACCATATCGATCCATCCATCTTCTGCGTCATCACCGCACCTTCGCGCGACCCCGCAGCACCGCTTGCAGACTTTTTGATCTTCAGCCCGCGCTGGGATGTTGCTTCACACAGTATGTGCTCGAGACTCTAAGTGCACCGGAGATGCTAACCAGATCATAGCCTACCGACCACCTTACTACCACCGGAATGGAGCATCTGAGCTCATGGGTCTGATCTATGGCGAGTACGCAGGACGCTCGGATGAGTTCCAGCCGGGAGGCATCAGCTTCGAGTGCGGTTTCGTACCCCACGGTGTCGCTTACGAAGAGTTCAAAGCGGCAAGTGCAGCGCCGCCGCCTGAGATGCAGATTTCCAAGGGCGCCGTCGCGTTCATGATGGAGAGCTCGAGGATGTTCACCATCACCGACTGGGCGTGGAACAGCAAGAAGAAGCACGAGCACGACCCAAAGATGTGGTATGTATTAATCAGTCAAGAGAAATATCATGGGTGAAGGCTAATCGAAGAATAGGGACAACCTCGTCGACAACTTCTCGAAGCACAAGGATGAAGTTGAGAAGATCTTGGCTGAAGGTGTAAAGAAGCTATAATGCGGCACAGTTGGGATTAATAAACAGATATCGGGAGCGACATGCAGCGGCGGGTCCGTGGATCTTTCGGTAAATCCTGTGTAGCTTTTGATAGTAATCGACCAGGGTGGTGCATACAGACATATGCAAGTGCGTAAATGCGATGTGAAGGAATGGGATGCTGCTCAAACGGGTTAGGCGGCGTAGACCCCGCGGGAGTCAGCCCCTGCCACAGCCACAGCGGGCGAGTGATCTCATCGCTGTTTGGACACAGATTTGTCGCCATGACTCTAGACTGACCTCAACGCGACTGCGCCGTGTTGACGCCCTTTTAATGATTGTTCTTGCAGCGCCGCTCTGGTGAGAAACGCCCTTGCCGTGCTTGTTTTGTTGACTCATCGTTGTTGCGCACTTGTTCTCGACTTTTTGCTTGCTGCCTGACCGAATGCTCCCTCGTCTTATTTCATTCTCCCCGCTCACACGCCTTTGCACTGCACCACCCACCACCTTTCGCTTACCCTCGCCTCTCCCACAGATACACTGTCAATTGCGAAGCGCTACTCGAACCTTCCCCACGTCTCCACGGTCCTTCCGATCGACGGCCATCATGGCGCACCGCGACCAAGCACCGTATGCGCCCCAAGACCCGAAGGAGATCACCGAGCTGGTCCACACCCTCGAGGCGCACCAGGGCAAGAAGGGCAAGGGCGGCTTCTCCGTCAAGAAACACACGTTCCCGCTCCCCAATGGCCGCACTGTCGACTCGTGGAAGATGAACGAGTGGGACTACAAGAAGGCGAACCTCCCCACATACGCACGCGGACTCTTCACATACAAGAACCGCGACGGCAACTACGAGATCGCCACACGAGGCTACGACAAGTTCTTCAACCACGGCGAGGTCCCCAAGACTCAATGGAAGAACGTGGAGCAACACACGCAGGGCCCGTACGAGCTGAGCGTCAAGGAGAACGGCTGCATCATCTTCATATCCGGTCTTGATGATGGCACATTGTTGGTCTGCAGCAAGCACTCCACCGGCCCACGAGGCGAAGAGCTTAGCCATGCCATGGCAGGTGAGAAGTGGGTCGAGCGCCATGTTGCGACGGTTGGAAAGAGGAAGGAGGACCTCGCCCGCACACTCCGATCCATGAACGCGACACTGGTGGCCGAGCTGTGCGACGACGACTTCGAAGAGCACGTCCTAGCATACACTCCGGAGCAGGCTGGTCTCTACGTCCACGGCATAAACCTCAACCTACCCGAGTTCGCGACATACCCTGGCCACCTGGTAGACAAGTTCGCGGAGGAGTGGGGCATGAGGAAGGTCACATATGTTATGGAGAACGACGTCAAAGAGGTTAAGAAGTTCTTGGACAAAGTCGCCGAGACGGGCAACTACGAAGGCCGCGACACAGAAGGCTTCGTTATCCGGTGCCAGGCGCGCGAGACCGAGGGTGCGCCGTATGTGGATTGGTTCTTCAAGTACAAGTTCGAGGAGCCATATCTCATGTACCGGCAGTGGCGTGAGTGTACTAGGGCTTTGATCGCCGGCAAGCCACCACGGTACAAGAAGCACGAGGCTATTACTAAGGAGTATTTGGACTTTGCTCGCCGGCAGTTTGCTCAGAACCAGGGTCTAGCAAAACAGTACAACGCGAACCACGGCATTATCAAGATGCGTGACGACTTCCTCAAGTTCCGCGGAACAACCGGTGCGGATATTATCCGGCAGGAGCAGCTGAACGGGCCTGTCGAGAGCAAGAAGGCTGACAGGAATATTGTGCTTGTCCCAATTGCGACTATCGGATGCGGAAAGACAACATTGGCACTCGCTTTGGTGAAGTTGTTCGGCTGGGGCCACTTCCAGAACGACAACGTCAAAGCGAAGAAGGGTCGCGGTCAAATCTTCGCTGATACCATCTCTTCAATGCTCGTCACAAACCCTGTCGTCATTGCGGATCGCAACAACCACCAAAAGCGCGAACGCGACCAGATCATCAATGACATCTCCAAGACCGTGTCTGATGCCCGGTTCGTCGCACTACATTATGTGCACGATCGATCCAACTACGATCGCATCCGACAAGCAACACAAAAGCGCGTGCTCGATCGCGGAGACAACCATCAGACGATCCAAGCAGGCTCGAAAGGCAGGGGCGAGATTGTCGAGATTATGGAGGGATTCATGCATCGCTTCCAACCAGTCGACCCTTCAGACAAGCCAGATGATCTGTTCGATCTTGTCATCGACCTCGACCCTACGGTCGACTCGCGCGAGAACCTCGAGACGATCATCGCGAAGATGTTCGAGACCTACCCAGCTCTGTTCGCTGGTAAGGAGATGCCGACGGACCCCGACATGGACGCTGCCATCCAGTGGGCCATGAACGACTACACACCAGACTTTAAGATGGATCTGTCCCAAGGCAACAAAAACCAGAAGGGAAACCATAATCCCCAGAACGGCCAACGAGCAGCCCACAACCAGCAAAACCAGCCCGCACCAAAGCCCAAGAAAGCGCCACGCATGGAGTACTTCTCCGTCCGCCTCGACCCCGGCCGCATCAACGCGATTCTCGAATCTTTATTCAGAGACAAGGACGCAAACACCGCAAGCATGTACAAGCAGCTCAAGCAAAACAAGCGCGTCCAAAACGAATTCCACGTCACCCTAATCCACCGCGCGTCTGCGTCTCAAAACCAGGGCTACTGGGAAAAACTCAGCAAACTCCACGAAACCGCACAGCGAACCAACACTACAGGTACCTGGGAGCCAGAGCTAGGCAAGTGCGACGTACAGATGGAGCGGATAGTTTGGGACGACCGCATCATGTGCTTCGTTGTACGTCTAAACGGCTCTAGCTCCCTTCAAATCGACAGCGCGGCGGGTACAACGACAGAGGAGTTGCTCTTCACGACTGTCAATCCTACTGCACACGTTACGGTCGGTACAGCGGCTCAGAATATCAAGCCCATGGAGAGTAATGCGCTTCTCCAGCGTTGGCTCAACGCCGGCTCTGGGGGCGACACGGGGATTGGTGAGATTAGCGTGAGAGGGAACCAGGTTCTGCAGGGGAGTGTGAGGGGCGTGTTGGGTCGGATGTAGGTCGACGACGATTCTTGGACCCTTTATCGTAGAAAAAATGGCCCAAGGCAACGAAGGAAAACGGGAAATAGGTGGGCGCCTGTGACGGGCTGAGGAATAAGGGGGTGTGCTTGAGAGGGTAGGCAAAGGACAGGAATGGAAGGAAGGGGATGAGGTAGAGGCAGCGGATTGCTCGACTAGGGGTGTTCGTGAGGAGTTACATTATCGGAGCGAGCATGGCATTGAGAAGGAAAGGGTTGGATGGGGTGGTGGATACCATAGATACCTGACAGGCATGCCAATGAATGAAAACGATATACTTTCATGTACCATCTAATATGATCAGTGTGTACGGATCGCGGACAGGCCACCATATCCGCATCTCTTCACTTCACACAATCACAAAACCAAACACGTCTGCAGCCTGCGTCCCTCTAATAAACCGCCGGAAAAACCCCCACCCTCCCCCCATCCGTCAACTGCGTCGTCCCATTAACATACGCCCCGCCCTTACCCACAAGGAACAGTAACAACCCCGAGATATCCTTAATCCCGCCCATCCTCCCCTGCGGTATCTGATTCGTCCCATACACCGGATTGAGGCCAGCCGTCATATCACTCGGATAAGGCCCCGGACACACAATATTGCTCCGAATACCCCATTCAGACAAAAACGTCGCCATCATCTTGCCCAGGTGCGCGGCGGCCGCTTTGCTGGCGTTGTAGGCGAGGCCGGCGGAGACCCAGCGCATGTAGCTGGCGACGGAGGCGATGGTTATGATGTGCGCCATGCGGTCGTCGTCGGTGTCGATATTGTTGTTTGATAAGAGGTCGGTGGAGCGGGCGCGCGCGTTTCCTGTGCCTGTTACTTTTCCGGGGGTCCAGCCTCGACGTGTGTTTGCGGCTTCGAGGAGGGGGAGGAAGGTGGCGGAGACGCCGATGACGGATTGGGTGTTTATTGCCATGGCGTCTTGCCAGCCATCATATCCAGCGACCATGGTTTCGGCGAGTTGCTGGATGGACTCGGCTTTGTAGATGTCGGCGCCGTTTTTGGGGCCGATGACGCCGGCGTTGTTGATTAGGACGTCGACGTGCCCGATGTCTTTTTGTATCGTGTCGGCGGCGGCTTTTACGGAGGTGAGATCGGTGACATCGCAGGGGAGGGCGTGGAGGGTGCCGGCGGTGTTTGAGTCGCGCGGGACGTTGGCTTGGAGGTCGTTGACGGCTTGCTCGAGGACTTCGCGGCGGCGGCCGAGGAGGTAGATTCGCTCAGCGCCATTTTGGTAGAGTGCTGATGCTATGGCGAGACCGAGACCTGTGATTGTGTAAGCCTTCTGGCTACGATACTTTGAGCTCGAGCATGTTCGAGATGTGAGGGCGCGGGGCTTGGTGGGGTAGCTCGAAGCTTGAGTAACGTACCACTGCCGCCGCCTGTGATGACTACTACTAGCCCTTTCGCCGAGAAGATGTCGTTTGGTCTGATTGGTGTTGAGACGTCCATGGTTGATGAAAGTTGGAGAGAATACGGGAAGATGCAAGAAAAGTGACTTGACTTTCACAGAGGAAAAGACGGACTTTGCTACTCCGACATGGAGCACAATGATTGCGTCACAGACGGAAATAAGCCGCTTGCCAAAAGATCCCGCGGCATGGCTGCGCGTTGAATTCCGATTACGATGGGTATCATACGAACCTGCAGACCTGGTGAACGCCATTCCCTTTCGTGCTTCTCCTATGCCAAACTAGCTGATACCCCCAATAATCTTGAGACCCAAATTATCCGCGGAGTATGCGAGGATATACCGGCACGGATGCCAGGCAACGTGGGACGCTGGAGTCGGCACATCGACCGTGTGTACAATCTCTCCGGTGTGAACATGCGCGATGCGAATCTTCTTCTCTTCCTTGTCATCAGAGCCCGCAGTAACGTAGCTACCGTCGAAGGAGAAGTCGACCGACTTGATGATACCGCCGGTCAATTCCAAAGTCCGTGTGCATATCCATTCTTGTGTGTCCCAGAGTGAGATGAGCGCATCGCCTCCGCCAGCTGCCAGGTATTCGCCGCTGGGCGATAGTGATACAGCGTAGCATGCAGAGGTATGAGCGTTTAGCGTCATAGCGTTTTCGAAAGACGGGTAACGCAGGCTTCTGACGCTGCCGTCGCCGGCTGTTGTGTAGAGGTGGTTGCCGGACCAGTCGAAGACGCATTGGTTTGTTTGGAGGACTTGTTGGTGTTCGGAGAGGATGCTCAGGGTCGATCGATCGATGGTGACAAGGAGATTATCCTGGGAATGTCAGCGTGTATGTCTTGCATGGCTATGGAGGGGTCCAACCTTTCTACCTGCAACCAACTCATTCCCATCTGGCGTCCACGCCAACGTAAACGGGCACTCGCCGACCTTGACTTCACCAACACTAGCCTTGGACCGTATATCCCAGAACCTGACCATGCCATCAGACGTAGAGCTTGCGAGCTCATTCTCGTTGATTGGGTGAAAGGATACGCGCTCTAGGGCTGCTGTCGTGTTGGGCGTGCGCAATTCAGTCGAGTTCTTAGCATTCGTCTTTTCAGGGTTCCAGATGCGCAGTGTCCTATCAGCAGCGCCTGTCGCGATGAAGGTACCAGAGGCATTCCACGATAGTGTGCGGATGTAGTGCGAGGATGATACGGCGTTTGGGCGAGGGCTGTCTTGGTACACGGATGTCTTGAGCTTTCGGAAGTGTTCGTGGAAGGAATCTGACTTGATCGAGCGCGCGCGTATTGGAGGCGCCATTGTTTGGAATGCAATATTTCACACGACTGGTGAGGGGTTGTTGGTAATGCGACGGCGAAGTTTGTGGTTTGTTGAAGCTCGATTGCGAGAAGCTCAAGCTCGAGGTTCACACGGACCACCGAAGCTCAGGGTCGGCCCTTCACGATACCGCAAGCAATGACGTACGAACCCATGTTTGGTATTCACGTTGCACAAGAGTAACGTAATGTGCATGTCAATATAGCAGCCTTGTTGCCGCGTATCTCGTTATATTATTTCATTCCAACAACTGCAGTAGCTGTCTAATCCTTCTTGCTCTCAGCACCCTCCTTCTGCATGCCCTCGCAGCCAACTAGGTTTCCTGCCTTCTCCTCGATGCCGCCCATTCCTTGTTGGCTGGGGTCGCGGTTCGCTGATGCTGCCTTCATGGCGTCTACGGCCTGCTCCTTGTCTTGCGCACCCGATGCCTTCCATGGCTCACTGCCGGTGACGTTTCCGATGGTCTCCTGGGAAGAAGTTAGTGCCTCGCTCTGTATAAGGAAGGGTTGGAAAGGCGAGTTGTCACGTACCTCAGCGGCGCCCTTGACGTATTGGGCGTGAGAAGAGACGAGACCGGGGTTGTTTGGTGCAGCAGACATGTTGGTGTATATGGTGAATTCGTAAGAAGAAGGATTCAGAGCTACGGATGGAATAGTTTGAAGAGATGTAGATGGTTGGTTGTCTTGCACGACTCGCGCTGGAAGTTTGGCCACTATATCGAGTGACGGTTACATTGACGTCATCGAGCACATCACATGGCGACGCGCTCCAGCTCGCGCGTCAGCGTAAGCATTAGACGCTTCTGCGGCAGTCCTAGTTTCAGTCGCGTCCAGATTGTAAAGTCTGTCCACTCGAAAGGAATAGCCATTGACCATATGACGTTGATGCAATCCATGGACGCTGAGGCCGCGTTCCCTAGTACGTGTGTGCTTGTTGGAGGCTTTGCGGTGTTATACAAAGTGGCGAATATAATGCCTGAGGCATCAAGATCATGAGCGGTTTCAACGAAGCTTAGTTCTTCGAAGGCTTGAACTTCGCAAGCCTTTGCAGCTTGAGCACCTTCTGATTCAGGCAAGTGCAGATGTACCTCGGCAACTATCTCCACGCCAAAAGATACTTACAAATCAACGGCATTGCGTGCTCTTGCATAGGCGACTTGGACATTTCTTCTAGCACCTTTCCCCGACTGATTTATAATTTCCTATCGTCTTTATACAAGAACAGTCGATCCAAATCCTCAGACTCGACATCGCAACATGGCACCCCAAGACTACAACCAAGGCGTCCCTGGCCTCCCATACTTCACCCCACAACATTTAACCTCCCCAGGAACGCCCGCCCCAAACACCAAACAAAATGGCACAACACCAACCCTCTTCACGCCCCTCACCATCCGCGGCACCACCCTCCGCAACCGCATTCTTGTAGCGCCCATGTGCCAGTACAGCACCGCATCCTCAGGCCCCACCATCGGCGCCTTGACAGACTACCACATCGCAACGCTCGGCCACTACGCCCTCAAAGGCGCAGGTCTAGTCTTCATAGAAGCCACCGGCGTCCAAGCCAACGGCCGCATCTCACCAAACTGTCCCGGCATATGGAGTGATTCCCAGATCCCCGCTCTGCGAAGAGTCTCAGACTTCATCAAGAGCCAGGGAGCGCAGAGTGGACTCCAACTCGCACACGCAGGCAGAAAAGCAAGTACATGCGCGCCCTGGATCGCCGGCGAACAGAAGACACAAGGCGGAAAGCGTAAAGTCAGCGTAAAAGCCGACGTAGACGCAGATGGCTGGCCAACAAACGTCGTCGGCCCCATGGGCGGCCAAGAATGGGCATGGGACGAGAAAGCCGCAGATAACGAGAGCAGCGGATACTGGGCCCCTCGCGCTCTCAGCGAAAAGGAGATCAAAGAGTTAATCCAAGACTGGGCCGACGCAGCGCAAAGAGCAGTAAAAGCCGGTATCGACGTGATCGAAATCCACGGCGCGCACGGCTACCTGATCCACCAATTCCTCTCACCCGTTACAAACCAACGCACAGATGCCTACGGCGGGTCCTTCGAAAACCGAACTCGCCTCCTTGTTGAAATCACCAAGGCCATTCGTGCCGTCATCCCCGATACCATGCCCCTGTACCTCCGCATCAGCTCCACAGACTGGATGGAAGAAACCGATCTCGGCAAGGCCCGCGGGACCTGGGACGTCGAAAGCTCGATCCGCCTCGCAAAACTCCTCCCCGGTCTAGGCATCGACCTCCTCGACGTAAGCAGCGGAGGAAACCACCCCGAACAACGAATCAACATGTTCGACTCCAAAGACTACCAGATCAAAATCGCCGCGCAAATCCGGAGTGCGCTCAAGAAAGAGAATCTCAGTCTTTTCATCGGCGCTGTGGGCCTTATTACTGAGGCGGAGCAGGCGAGGGATATTGTTGAAGAGGGGGGTGCAGCGTCGACGATTGCGAGGATTGGGGATGAGGAGGTGGTGAAGGAGGCGGAGGCTGCGGTTAGGGTTACGGAGGGGAAGGAGCCGTTGGCGGATGTTGTGCTGGTTGCGAGACAGTTTATGAGGGAGCCTGAGTGGGTGTTGAGGGTGGCGTGGCAGTTGGGGTTGGATGTTGCGTGGCCGAATCAGTTTTTGAGGGTTAGGTTTCCGAAGTTGTAGGGTGTGTAGTGGGTGAGAATGAGAATAGAGCGCGTCTTTGATCGTGCATGTGTAATTCCTTTCGCCATCATTTGATGGGAGGTTTCGGCCATCGTGTCATGTCTTTCGTATTGCGACTACGTCTTTGACTTAGACTGGGGCCTGGTCTTGATCCGGGCTAATTAGTGAGATGATACTTTGGTATACGGTATGATCGCGATAGCTTTACTGTTGTTCGCTGAGTGAGCTTTTTGTAGAACTCGTCGAGAGTATCGAGGCGATGTGATCAAATCCAGGATATTGTACGGTAAGACGCGTTGGTAAAGGAGATGGGTTGCGAAAGACTCTTCTAATACTACACGTATTTATCTGCACTGGCCGCACTTTAATTACATAGGCATCGTTGTGAGTATTTGGCAAGTGTACCTCACGAAGTTCACAATTACACGGCTCTCGCGGCGCGCATCCCTGCAGGTTGGTAGGCTTAATCTTTGAGTGTCAGCGCTAGCCATGCCGTTGTGCATAATGTACAGCCACCACCAATTCGGAAGTGAGGGGCTGCGACTGACTTCCAGTTTACCTCGATCATCCTGGGCATCCCGAGACTCTGCCACTGACACCGTCTACTCTGATAGATATTGTTGCCATTATGAGCACTTCCATCGATACACTTATTCCTCCTCTTGCGATAGTTGGCAGATCACGGTCTCCACAAGAAGAAGTACCCGCGAAGCTACCTCCAACTTTGCTTTGCGAGCCTTGTAAAGCTTTTCTTCGAGGAGACAGAACACCCTATACCAATGTGAGACGGTTCGCATCCCCTCGAGGTTTCGTTCACCATGTTGATGCAGAATCTTTTCAACAAGCTTTGGACCTTCCATGTGGCATTTGCGTTCGACTCCAGCAAGCTTTCAATGAATATGGTAGTATCTCGTCTTCACCAAAGCAGATAGTGACAAAACTAACCCCATGGTAGCCGGAGGCCTTGATATTCCGTTTCGCGCACAAGCAACGTGTTACAACTGCGTAACTAAGCGAACTACAGGAGGTCCAACATTCGTGTTTCA